CCCAGCAAGACGAATTTCACCCTGCTCGGATGCGGCGCCCGCGGTGGCAGTACGCGTTCTGTCGGTCTCTCATTGACGCGTGGAATGGACACATCCATCTGTGCGCTGGATTCCTTCAGGCTTCGGGTTGTCAAATGAAGCTCACGCGAATCCTTCGGGCCCGTGCTCCTCCGATCTCTCCTGTCCGCTGCCTCCGCGCCCGGGTGGTCCGATGGGTCCCAGGGGTCTCTGTCGCCCAGGTTTCGGCTGCTGCTCAGGTTGTCCGCAAGGTATGCAAGGGAAGTTCTCTCTACCTGGGACTCGCTGTCTTACGTGTCTTGGCGAGGGGTGTCTGCACCAGTGCCAGATTTCATCGTGGGCCTGAAGGATGCATCTGGAACTGAGGAGCCCCTGGGGCCAATGACTCAATGGAGCGCTATGCCGTATGTCCTGAATTTCGACGCCTGAGTTTAGCTCTCGCCCCCTGCCTCCAGCTTTTTTTTAGCGAAGAGTCCTGGTTCCGACGTTTAACTTTGATCGCCCCCCCCCCCCCCCCCGTTCTTTGAGCGGCGTTTAATTTGTGCGAGTCTTCTGGACGGGTTCCTTTTCGTCCAAGCCAGTTTTCGTGAGGGGGCAAGGCAGCCGCCGAAGGATCTTCTCAAAGGCCGAATTCACTTGCACACCCTGCGGCATCCGAAGGTTGCCCGTGCCTGGTCTGTGTCTTCCTCTTAGCTGTCTCCTATAACCTTTGCCCCCCTGGGGCCAGCGGCTCACCGTCCCTCTCGGGGCCAGCGGAGTTTTATGCTGTACATGTACCATTCTGCCGTCTCGGTGCCGCTCTCTTCATCGTGCCCCTCTGGGGCCAGCGGACTTTGCATCGCTCTCTGCTGAAGCCCTTGTTGGGGTTCCCCGAAAGCCGCTCTCTGTGCTTCTCTCGGGGTTTCTACGTTCGGCCCGATGTTCCCCAGTCAGTGCTTCTGTCGGCGCCCACTGGCTGTTGCAAGTGGCAAGCATTGCTTCAGCTGCATTGGCCGCCGATAACTCTTCTTTATTTTTGTTGCCGCCAGGTTCCCGATGAAGCGCCGCAAGGCCCCGCGTGCTCTCTAGAAAGAGATTTTGTTTGGGCAGGGTCCGTTTTCCTTGGTCGTCGCCTGGCCACGGGCTTAGCTTCTGATCGACCCTCCCCCTCTCTAAGGGTATGCGCTCTGTGGGCTTTTATTTTTTTGATGCCTTAATTTTTTATTTCTTGGCTTTTATCTCTTACTGGGCCTGACTTTTTGTAGATCGACCTTTAAGGCGCCCAACCTCTGAGTTGGTTCGGCTTCGAATGCGCCCGTTGCCAGGACTGGGCGCACTGCACCAATTGTCATCCCTCGTTGCCATCGGTCCCGTTGGAAAAAAACATCATCATCAACATCGTCATCGGGGCGCCAACGGGGCGCCGACGGGGCACCGGCGGGGCGCCGGCGGGGCACCGCGCGCCACCGGCCGCCCGGTGGAGAATCATTTGGTCTGGCCGCGCCTCAGCCACAGAGGACGCCGCCGGGACACCGGCGGGGCACCGCGCGCCACCGGCCGCCCGGTGGAGAATCATTTGGTCCGGCCGGGCCTCAGCCGCAGGAGACTTTCCTCTCGCCCGCGCGCGCGGCGCGCGCGAACACGAAACCGAAATCGATTTCCCGGTAGGGGGCTCTCCGTTCCACTTCGATTTCACCCCCGCACTTCCGATATATGGGGCCACGAAGGGCAGCGAGGGGGCCACGAAGGGCTGCGACGGGGCCACGAAGAGGAGCGAGGGGGCCACGAAGGGCTGCGACAGGGCCACGAAGGGCTGCAACGGGGCCATGCATAGCAGCGAGGAGGCCACGAAGGGCTGCAACGGGGCCGCGAAAAAAAAACGAGGGGGCCACGAAGGGCTGCAACGGGGCCATGCAAAGCAGCGAGGAGGCGACGAAGGGCTGCAACGGGGCCACGAAACAAAGCGAGGGGGCCACGAAGGGCTGCAACGGGGCCACGAAACAAAGCGAAGGGGCCACGAAGGGATGCAACGGGGCCACGAAGGGCAGCGAGATCCTGATTCTAAGGTAATCTGTGAGGAAATCCTAAGCGTGAGCGCGACTCCTGGGTGCCTGGGTGTCGGGAGCGCGCCGCTTGAGTAAATTGAAGGAAATTCCAACGCAAGGGGGCTATTCGTCAGTAAATTGCAAGCAAGTCTCCAGCGAAAGCGCGACTCCAGAGCGCCGGGAGAGCGATTCCTGAAAAAATTGTATGGAAGTCCAAAGCGAGAGCACGAATCCGGGATAACATGCGAGGAAGTCTCGGGCGGGAGCGGGGGTCCTGGCTAAATTGTAAGGGAGTCTGAGGCGGGAGCCGTTGTTGTGGTAACCCGGCGGGCCAGGGGCTTAGTTTGAGCATCGAGAGCTTCACTTACAAAAAACAGGGTGCGAGCGTCGATGGGCACACTTTGATTGAGAAAAAACAGTGTGCACCGGTGGGGGTATCACACATATGTTTCCTTCAGAAGTGAGAGTTCAACGTCACAAACAGAATCCTCACCACGAATCCCCACTTCAGCCACGCACCCAGGGGCAATGATTGACCGCTCGGCCCCCTCATTCTGACTATGCGGGCCACTCGCGCGTCGGCCACGTGCGCGTGTCGAAGTCTTTCCAAAACCTTCATCACCGATGCGAAGACGCCGTCATCGTCGTCGGAGTGATCGGCATGCGCGCCGTCATTGGCCGTGACTTCGTCGCTGTTAGCATCGCCGCGCGCATCGCTACAATCACCACCGTGTCTACCGTCGCCGACGTTGCCATGATACCGCGACCGCCCAAGCCGCCGACTCGCATGAAAGTGCCCGGTGTTGCCTATCGGTCAGCACCACTGCGGCTGCGTCGGTCGCGCCAAAGTAGTTGGCCGCAGCGCGCGCATGCATGTGCGGGGTGCCGCGGCCGCAGAGATGCACCAGCCAGCGCCGATCACTCATCGCAATCGCCGCCGCATGGGGTTTGCAAGCCAACTTGCGGGTGGGTGGGTGGGATGCTTGCGCGAGCCGTGGAGTGGACAATTTCAAGTTGAACGTTCATTCGTTGCACCACACAGATTCTCTTTTCTAGAAAGGGAATAGACTCTACCCCCCCCTGGACTTAACGCTTTCCTTTGGGATAGTATAGTTTCATATATAGATATGTACGTATGTATGTATGTATGTATGTATGTAGCAATGTATATATATGTATATATATAGATATATTATGCACATTCGTCGATCCTAAATATGAAATCGTATCATCCCAGCTAGGCCCGTTTCCCCCCCTGAGGGTTCATTTTTTTCCCCAAAAAAACACTATGCGGTGACATTTTTTGCTCTGGCATAAGACTTTTTCGCGAGTCCATAGCAAAAACAGAGACGAAGTGCACACGCGCGCGTCGTCGCGCGCGCATGCCGAAATCCTTCAAAAACCTTCGGTGCCGGAAGGATTTCGCAATCGAGTTTCCAAAACACCTACGAAAATACCGGGTTTCGCAACACTGATTTGCTAAAAAAAATTCCGCGCGACATCTTAAGAAAACCATAGTTTTTTTTCGAGATTTTCACAAAATGCTACCAAACGGGCGTCGCGCGCGCATGTCGAAATCTGTCGAACGCCCTTGCGCGTGTGCAGTCGCGAGAATCCTCTGCAAAAAACGGGACGAAGTGCAGACGCGCGCGTCGTCGCGCGCGTACGCCGAAATCCTTTCAAACCCATCGGTTTCGGAAGGGTTTCGAAATCGCGCGTCTAAAAAACTTACAAAAACCCACGGTTTCGCAACACGGATTTTCAACAAAAGCGTGCGCGCGCGCTCTTGCGTCGTCGTCGTCGTTGTCGCCGTCCTCCCTCCTCCCGCGTCGTCGTCGTCGTCGCCTACGTCGTCCTCTGTCTTTCCTCGTGTTCGTCGTCGTCGTCCTCTTTGGCGTCGTGGTCGTTTCCGTCGTCGTTGTCGCCGCGGTCGTCCGTCCTCCTCCTCCCTCGTCGTCGTCGTCGTCCGTCGTCGGCGTCTCGCTTCCTCCCTCGTCGTTGTCGTCGTCGGCGTCGCCGTCTTTCCTCCTTGTTCGTCGTTCGCGTCGTCGCCGTCCTCCCACCTCCCTCGTCGTCGTCATCGTCGTCGTCGCCGGCGTCGTCGTCGTCGTCGTCGGTGTCGTCGTCGTCGTCGTTGTCGTCGTCGGAGTTGTTGGCGACGTCGTCGGTGTCGTCGTAGTCGATGTCGGCGGCGCCGTCGTCGTCGTTGTCGCTGTCGTCGTCGGCGTCGGTGTCGTGGTCAAGTGCCATGTAGCACCTACCGTCACGGTCTTGTCTCAAGAGGTCTTGCGACCAAGTTGCGGGTGGGAGGGTGGGATGTTTGCACGAGCAGTGGAGAGGACAGCTTCAAGACGGTCGAAGTGAACTGCACCACATATATCGTCCCACATGTATTGCAGTATCTGGGTGGTGCGTTTTTTGGTTTCTCGCCTGCGGCGCTCTCCTTGATCGCTGACAACATGGATCGCGCTACGTACACGCACAGGATATATTGGACCACCTAAAAGTGCACAGCACGTTTGCACCACATCTATATAGATATTAGAGTGGCATTGTTGCACAGCATGGATAGCTTTACAACATATGTTGCACAGCTGAGATTGCTAGCGACGCACTGTTTCGGAACCGCGCTGGTTAACACACGCACACACATCTGTACACATTCGGGGCCAATGAGTAACATATACCCACATCCACCGCCCGCTGGGGTCCAATGACATCGGTTCCCCAGGCTGCGTATACACATCGAAGATTCGAAGCCAAATATTGGACATGCATGGGCTCCATATTTGGTTCAACAAATCACGAATGTGGACCGAACTCTTGTTCGGAGTGTTCGCTGATCTGGACCTGGGCTGCTGTTTGAGAGAACTCTTGGAGGGAAGTCCGCTGAGTTCGCCCAGAATTCTCCGATCTCTCATCAAGCGTGTATATCGATCTATACCCGTCTCGCAAAAGGTCGACTGCGACGCCGCGTACCCGGAGGACGGCGAGGCCCTGGTGGTGCCCCCGAACAACCCCCAGGGCCCAGCGCCCGTTATCCTGTACCTCCTGGGCGCGGGCAAGTTCAACAGCCGAGAGTCCTTCCTCGGGGGCGAGATGGCGGTTCTGTGGGAGAACGAGCGGCTCAGGGAGGACTACTACGTGGTTGTCGGGGGAGGAAAACGTTACCGCTACCGCTACCCTCCCCTCGTCTTTGCCTTTTTCCGCCTCTTGGGTGGCCCTCGTCGCCACCGCTGGATTCGCCTCGAGATTCTGGTCAGAACGTACCCTGGGAGAGGTTTGGGGAGAAGCGATATCGGTATCTTTGGGTTGTCCTAGGTTGTGCCCAAGCCCGACACCCGCACCGGCCTCATCTACTACCTCGGCCAGGGCTTCAAGAGGGAGTGGTCCGAGGACGCCGTCTGGTGCCTGTTCACGGAGATCCTTAGGCGCCTCGGCCCAGAGAAGGTCGACCCCTCGCGGCTCTACGTGGCCGGCTCCTCACAGGGCGCGGTGGGCGCTTGGGGGCTGGCAGTGAAGTACGGCAGCATGATCGCCGCTTGTCAGCCAATGGGCGGCAGGTGCGAGTGGCCCAGCAACTCGTGGCCTAAGCATTCCTCCTCCCCCACGGAGGAGGCCATGCAGAACCTGAAGCTGTGTCCGATCCGCTGCTCCCACTGCAGCACCGACTCGTACGCCCCCCCGCCGAAGCATGACATGGAGTCCCTGACCTACTACGCCGCGGAGGAGCGGAGCTACGACGTCTCGCCCTTCGGCTGGGACATGGTCACGAAGATGGACACTGCGGTGACGAAGTGGGTCTGGAAGGACACCAAGAATCCTTTCGAGCTGTTCTGGGTCAAGGGCCCCATGGCGGACAACTGCCCCATGTGGCCTGGCCTGGACAACCACCTCGTGTGGTTCCGGATCATCTCCAACCCCATGTGGGGCTTCACCACCTTCTTCTCAGAGCACACTGTCCCGGAGGATCGCCAGTGGCGCTTCGACTCGGAGCCCATGAAGGTCGACACGTCGGCACACAGGGCGATGCTCGAGCAGATGGGGTACTGGGACAAGCCCGAGCCGACGCCGCCCGAGATGAAGACAGAGACCGTGTACCTGGGCCAGGTCCGACGGCTGGACGAGTGCGGCGCGCTGAATGAGGACGTGCGCGACTGCCTCACGAGCAGTCTGGCGAAGTGCGCGCAGGACCACGAGATGCTCGTGCTGCTCCAGATCGATGTCCCCTCCCGCTCCGCGCCCCTTTCGATCGAGCTGGCGCTGGTCAAGATACACGCGGACGTGAGCCGGGCGGTGACCGCCTTCCAGCGGCACCTCGGGGCGACGGTGCAGGGCGTCGCGCAGGGGCAGGAGCTGGGTGTGTCCCTGCAGGTCAACACTCCGGAAAGCAATGTTTGGAGCCGAGATTCTTGTGGGGAACCGGAGAGCAATTTGCTGGCCCCCCAAAAGAGAATCGGTTCCACATTTCTTCGGCACTTCAGGTCAGCATCCCCGTGCCCCCAGCGGCGGTGCAGTTCCACGTCGTGGCCAACAGGCCCTGGGACAAGGCCGCCCTCTGCAAGCTGCGCCCCGGGCTCCCGGTGCTGGCGCTGAAGATCAGGGCCGCGGAGCTGATCTACATGGACGCCAAGAAGGCGAACACCTTCGAGGTCGGGCTTCGGCCGAACCCGAAGCCTGGCGAGAAGGCCCAGCCCATCACCCCGCTGCCGATCGACACGCCCCTGACCGAGGACTCGGGGGCCCCCAGACCGTGCGGTGACCACACCGCGTGATGAGTCAGTGGGGGTTCGTGGTGACGGTACGGTTTCGGGACTCGGCACATTCCCCGACGATGTCTTGGGAGGCTGGGGCCTCCAGGTCCCCAAGCCGTGCGGTGACGTACTGTGCGGTGATGACTTCCGGGACTTCGAGATTACCGCACGTCCTGTCATCACACGGTTTGGGGACCTCCAAAAGGACCTCCTGGAGTTCGACGCATGCCTGGAGGACAAGAAGGCCTCCGCGCCGCCGCCGACGCTGCAGGCGACCGACGCTTCCATGATGAGCCTCATGGTTCTGCTGGCACATCACGAGGACCACGAGCTGGAGGGCTACCGCCCGACGATCCACACCCTGAAGAGGGGCACCAAGGTGCAGATATCGAGGATAAATGAACCCCTAATCGTAATAACATCGTGAAGACGTGGTGGCCTCACTGAGGTCTCCATCCTTGTATTAGGGAAATTTAATCTGGGCGGTTTGGTTCGATACGTCTGCAGAAGAGACCCCCTTATCCCTAATGTTTTGGCCCTCCTGCTGAGGTTCCCTCCGACAGGGTCATGGGGTCCCTCTACTGCTAATCATGCAGGGGCAACGTTTGGGGTTATAAGTTTTCTTGGGCCTGCCTGAGGCTCTGTCTCTGCAACCATGCCTTGCGTTGCGAGGGTGTTAGCGTGTCGTTCCGCCGATTCTGGCCCACCACGTTTCGGCGCGACACGATATCCATTTCCCGGTCCCGGGGCGTCAACGTCCAGAATTTTTCTAAGCCTTACTTACGCCCCGCGGAGCGGAGCGACACGCTATCTGCTCGCAAGGCAAAGCGTATCGCTGGGGCCGCCGCGGCGACACGCTATCCAAAAGCTTGCCACCGTAGGCTCAGGGGGGGGGGGATGCATCGAACCCCAGTCGCCCATTCGCCGATAGGGGCTCGATAGCCACACCACGCCCAGACAAGTGCGGATTCGCCATCAGGGACTTGTCGCCGATCCATCGGCGATGTGCCGCCGATTCCAGGTCGATATTTCTCCCCCTCAAGCGGTCCCTTCCTGACGTTGCCCCTACAGAGGTGCTCGAGCTGAAGAGGGCCATCGCCGACATCACGGGCCGGAGCGTCGACGAGTTCGGCATTTGCCCGGCCACGGCGTTCCCCGAGAACGACAGGGAGACGGAGGGGGTGATCAAGTATCCGCTGAAGGACGACGCCGCCCTGACCGAAGAGAATTGGCTCCTGCAGGTGTGCGGCCTCTGGCAGCAGCCAGAGACAACAAGCAAGACACACCACAACAACAGCAACAGCAACACCTCTCTCACACACATGTGCGCACACACACACTCACAAACTCACACACTAACGCACTGACACACACACAAAATACAATCACACACACAGGATGACTGGATGGGGGTGGATGTCATGGCCATGGCCACGTCATCTCCCTGGAGTTCGTGCCCCCCCTTCTCAATTTGAGTACTTCCCTTGGTCCCGAGCTGGGCCGCGCGCGTGCCTCGTGCCATAACTTTCGGCCCCCCCCCTTCCCTTCCCACCCGTGGGACGCCCCCTCCCCCCCTGGACGGCCCGCGACAGCAAAAAAGAGGTGTGCGACCTCGGCCTGTCAATCACCCTGGACCTCGGCGGCGTCGCCAAGGAGATGAACATCGACAGGGGCACCCCCGTGAGGAAGCTGAAGTGGATCCTCGCGAACGGCAACGAGAAGAAGGCGCGCAACTACAGGCCTCGAGGAGGAGCAAATGGCAACACACCCGTGCACCCTCGGAGGTCAGCGTGGACTTCGTGGAGCGGCGCTGGGCCCCCCTGGCGCGCTCAGGTGGGAAGGGGAGGCCCATCGCCAGTCTCGGGTGTTGCTAGAAGTGCCCCTGGCCCAAGGTGCCCCCCGCCTTGTCGCTCCATTTTCGAGCCCCTGGGGCCCTCTGGGCCTCGCGAGGGGTGCTCTGGAGGCCGCCCGGGCCCCCCCGAGAATCCTGGGGACACCTTGGGCCAGGGGCACTTCTAGCAACACCCGACAGTCCAAGAGACCCCCGTGGACCTCCGAACATTCCCGTGTTTGCGTCGCTGTCTCTTGCTCTTGCTTCCCCAAAGGCTGGCCCTGGCCCCGCAGGACGGGGAGAAGCCCGAGCCGCTGCCGGACGACCTCGTGCTCGCCGAGGCGCACGCGCGGCTCGTGCTCTGCTGAGTGGCCGACGGGGCGCCCGGGGCTCCGCTGCATGCTGGGTGCTGCCGCGGCGCGGGGCCTGCGCACCGCGGCCACGGAAGGAGCGGTGGGGCTCTTCTCGGAGCAGGGCCGGTCGAGACAACGGCGGCCCTCCTTTTTCTCCTCCTCCTCCTCCTCCTCCTCCTCCTCCTCCTCCTCCTCCTCCTCCTCCTCCTCCTCCTCCCTTCCTGCAAACCCTCCTGCCTCTCCATGGAGGCTCCTCGTCGCCACGGCCGCATCCGCGTCGGAAAACTAGCCACGAGGGACCCCCGGGATGGGCCCTGGAGCCGATGTCGAGCGGATTTGGGCGGGGCGCGAGGGCTGCAGGCTGCCACCGTCTCAGCTGGCCCTCCTCCGATCTTCTTTGGGGCCCTGGCCTCGCGGCCTGGCCACGGATGAGCTGTCCCCATCGGGTGTGGTGACTTTTGGCTCTTCTGCCTGCCCTCAGGGAACAGTTCCTGGCTGCATCAGTCTTCGGATTCCGCCGCCACTTGCCGCACGGACGGGCCACGTGGCGCCGTGATTCCACACTGACTGACGTGATCGCTCTCAGCGAATCTGGCACTGAACTGGTATCCTTGACAGCGTTTCTTTTTCCCCTGTAGTCCGCCAGTCCTCCCCCGTCTTGGGTGGACATGGCGACCCTCCACTCCGATTTGGCAATCCACTCCCCCCGGTGCATTAGCCACCGGTAGCCATTAGAAGGCTTGCCTGGGTGCTCATCAGCGCTTGGTCTCGCCGGCTTGGGGGTTCAGTGCGCTCTCGGGTGCGTCTCGCGCCTCACTGGGAGGAGCCTCCAACGTGGCCGATGTGAGCGCCGGCGCTGGTGCACCTCGGCCGCTTTGTAGGCTGACACCTGCGTCGGCGCGCGCGTCAGCTGCCGGCTCGACCCTGCACAGTTGTCCGTTTTTGATCTAAAGGGCGTCGCCCCCTGCCGCCGACCCCCATACTGACGGACGGCAGGAAGCGCCTTGGGCGTGGGGATTTTCTGTTCTCTGGTAGCAGATTTCCCTGACTGGTGGGTTCGGGGTCGCACCGGGAAGCTCGCTGGGGCGGATGATGGCAAGCGCGCTTAGACTGGGAGAGGCACGCGATGGACGGCCCCAGGGGAATCATATCAACTCGGGAGGTCCAGGCGGGGAATGGCTCGGGATCGCTCGCCGATGGGAACGTGCCAGGTTTGAAAACATGCGTTTCGCCTGAGACAAGCTCACATCATGGAGCTTCTGGAGGATATGTTATACAACGGCGTTTCTGAATTCAGAGGCTCTCGCTGCAGACATCCTCAGATCATCGAGATATTCAAATCGTATACTCTTCGTGTCTTGCAATGTTGTGTTGAAGCTTTCTCGGAGGACCCAAAGGCAGCCAAAGAGGCAACGGCATTGAACGACCCGTGATGTTTCAGCACTTTCGTTGAACAGAAGGCATTTCTCTTGGACCATCCAAGGAACCATCCTCACAGACACGGCTGTGCGAGCATATCGAAGTTTGCGAACACCATCAGGTTTCCCATTGTTCTGGGGGTTCACCTGTGTTCGGAAAGCTCTAATCATAGTGTTTTAGTTTTTTTGTATCTCGTCGGAGGTCCGACCAGGGCATGTTTTCAACATCAGTGTTTTCAAGCAAACTATGCGTATTCCCTCTTATCCGTATGAGGCCCGAGGCATAGTTGTTTCCAATGGTCCAGGGTTCACATGTGTCTGAATTGTTCCCTATCCGTTTAGTGTATCAGTTACTGTTCGACACTTATGTCTTCGCTCTGAGGTCAGTTCAACAATAGCTTTTAAACATGGGTCCCAGCCTTACAAAGGATTACAGTCCATCTTATCTGTATGAGTCTGGGCCCCGCCTATGTGCAGCAGTTGGGAACACTTGGGCTGCATTGGCCTTTTGCGATTCTTTCTCAACCTTTTTCATTATTATGATTTTCTCAGCCGCGCATCTCCTTCACTCCTCCGCGCTCACCGTTGTCGGCCGTAGCTGGAGGTCTTGTTTGGGCACCAGGAGATTGTTCACGAGGCGGTTTCGCAGTCCTTTCGGGCTCGGATCAGTGTGTTCATAGTTGTTCCCTTGTGGTCGTTCGGGGAGCGTGTGTCCATGGCTATTAGTTGTGAACGTTCAGGGAGCTAGCCTAGACCATATGCGATCTCGATGTTGTTGTACGCTCTTGCGCAGGCTTTTCAACTTCAGGCGCTTCCTGCTCGCATGCAGAACTGTATCTCAACAGTTGACGTTTCGGTTGAGACACCCTCTAAGCGTTTGCTTCTTAGGCTGGTAAACATCCAACACCGTATTGGAATCGTTCCTGGAGGGCTTCATCATTGATTCAACAGGTCTATGGCATATCTGCTGACCACTTTCTTGTAGTTCGTTCCCCAGGGTCTTTCTGGTACGTCTGGGGAGCGTCGCTTTTGCTTCTGGGTGCGTCTTGGGGCTTCCATGGGCGGTCATCGGAAGGTCTCATCAGGCTTCCTCGAGCTTCTTGGATGCTTATCGGCTGCCGCCTGTCGCCTGTCGCGCCTTCGTCCTCGTCGTCGTCGTCGTCGTCGTCGTCGTCGTCGTCGTCGTCGTCGTCGTCGTCGCCGCCGCGCGGTCGTCGTCGTTGTCGTCGTCGTCGTCGTCGTCGTCGTCGTCGTCGTCGTCGTCGTCGTCGTCATTCCTCCTAGGGCTCAAAGTCGAGCCTCGGGGACAACGACGACGACGGCGTCGGCGACGGCAAGGGCGCCGCACTGAAGCATGCATGGTTTGTGGTTTGACGGCTGGGTTTTGAGCTAGTGGGTTCCGAGCACCTTGCGGGGTGCTCGTTGAACCCGTCGGTTCCGTCGAGCCCTTTCGGGGGTGCTCGCTGAGCCGGCGGTTCCGAGGACCCGAATGGGTGCTCGTTGAACCGCGGGTTCCAGGGATCTGGCCAAGTCCCGCAAGCCGTCCAAGGCGGCCCAAAGTCATGCCTAGGGGCCAGTGCAAGTGCCCATAAAAGGTCTCCAGGCAGCATGAACACTGGCCCAGGCTGCCACCGTGACCTGGTTGTGGATCTGAAGCCACTCGGATGGCTGATAGAGTCTCGTATGAGGCCTCTCGGGGGCGTCTTGGAGGCAGCTTCGGGGCCCCTTGGAGGCCTCCTGGAGGGCTCTTGGGGGCCTTTTGAGGCCCTCTTGGGGCTCCATGGGAGCCTCTTGGGGGTTCCTTGGGGAACCTGGGGGCGTCTTGGGGCCGAAGGCTCGAAATTTCCTCTCGGGTTCCCCCCTCTGGGCCCCCTCTCAGGGCCGTCCTGGGGCCCTCGTGGGCCGTCTTGGGGCTCTCTTGGGCCGTCTTGGAGCCCTCTTTGGGGTTTCTTGGGATTTCTTGGACGTCGAGTGAAAGCACAAGAGGCGACCATGCTAAACACGTCCTCTTCCTTGAGGGAATGGGCCGATCTTTACTTATTGGGGCCCTCTTGGAGGGTCTTTTAGACGCCTCTTGGGGCGTCTTGAAGGCATTTTGGGCCGTCTGGAGGTCATCTTGGACGTCTTGGACCGTCTTGGGGGCCTGGTGGGAGACCTCAGGGGCTGTCTTGGAACTCCAACGGGAGCCCGGGGAGGGCCAGTGATTTCGGCCGGGGGTCGTCGGGGGCCCCGGGGGGGATGTCAAACTCATGGTTTGTGGGGTCCCCAGGGGCGGGATTATGGGGGGGAGGAATCTCACGCGCCCAGAGACCCACAAGGGGTCGGCGAATTAACAGAGCCACTCCCCCGCAGGGAACACAGCGAGCGCCCAAAAGCGCCCCATGACGGCCCCAGTATTCTCGAAACAGGGCCCCAGGAGGCCACAAAACATGCTTCGGAGGCGCCAAGACGGCCTTCGAGAGACCCCAAAGTTCCCCAAGACACGCCCAGGCAGTCCGAAAAGGCCCAGACCTCCCCAAGAGGACCACAAATGGCTCTCGAGAAGCGCCCGAGACGCTTCTAAGAGGCCCTGCAGAGGCTCGAAGACTGCCTCAGACGCTCCTGGTAATCAGGGTTGGCGGTGGTCGCTCGCCCCTCACCAGTTGACAGCGACTTGACGACCTCAGTAACATTGAGTAGTTGCTGGTCACTTTGGAGGACGTTCTTCCCCCCACGAATCGCGGAAGCCATGCTCGGCGGTGCCAGGACTGATCGACCGCGCAGCCCGAGACGGCTCGTGGCAAACAGCCAGCAACAGGGAGGGCGAAGCAGCAGAGAAGGGCAGGCCAGCACGCGAGGGACAGGCGGACGAGCCAGGCAGGGCTCGGCGGGAGAGGCGGCTCGAAGCGCGCGCGTGCGCCGGGGGCACCCTCTTGGAGGGCTCGCTCCTGGGCAGACGCGCTGGCTGGCAAGGCGGCCGGCCCTCGGCAGCCTGGTGGCCCCACGAGAGGGGGGGTCGGCGGCGTGGTGGCGGAGCGTCGGTTCACGCGTCAGCTGCCCGTTCGACCCCGCAGGGCCTGTTTTTATTTTTGGTGCATCCTGCACGGGGTTCTCGCCTTCCTCTGCCTCGACCGTCTCGGCAACCTCCACGCACCGCTTGGCCACCTCCTCCGCCCCCCTCCGCTCCTTGGCCCTGGTCGCCTCGTGAAGATCGGCCCCCCGGGCTGTGGGGTGCGTTCTGTCCAGAACCTCGGAGCTGATCCGGCCGTGGCGGCGAGAGGCTTCCGGGAGGTCGGCAACGGGTCAGAAACGCTGAGGAACATAGGTTTTTCGAACCTCGATCCTCTCCTCCCCCCTCACCCTCCACCCCTTTCCCAGCCTGCTCCCGCTTTCCCTCCTCCCGCCCGGGGCAGCGCCGTTGCCCGCGGGGCTTGCTTGGAGAGGCCGCCGTGCGGGCGCGCGAGTTTAGCGAGGTACGGCACAGTTCGTGTGCACCTGGTCGGGAAAAATAGTCCTGCCTCGCGGGTGCCTGTCCGCTGGCTTTGTCCATTGAGAGCGTTGGAGGAAGGGCCGCTTCGGTTTTGGAAGGGGCTCGAGGTTGGCATCCCTCGTACGGTG